GTTTAGGGTTAGGTTTAGGGTTAGGTTTAGGGTTAGGGTTAGGGTTAAGTTTAGGGTACTGAGTGCTTGGAAATGCACGGATTTGCCCTCCGCGATTATGTCATCGCGGTAGGGTTGCATTTTTCCTTAGCGCTTTGAACGGCGCGAATTAGTCTTCGCGCTTATGTCTCCGCAGATAAGGGCTTCACAGATTTGTGGTGGAACCCACGCACTAAGTAACTAATTCTATTGTATTCAATTTCACCTTCATGCTTCTTTTGAATACCCAATTCTCGCCTCAATATAATGAAATAGGCAGAACACACCCACAAAGCTTTTCACAGCTGAAAGTAGGACAAACTTAAAGGAATTGTGACATAGAAAGGCACAGGCTAACAGTGTAAACAATTCAAGTAGAGATTTAATCTATGGAAATATCATAGGACCAATTATGGTCCACAGAGAGTCCTTGACTTACGACCACAATTGAGATCAGAATCTCCATCACCAAAACATTCATAAAGTGAATCGTTACGTGACTGGATTCAATATTATGACCATTCTTAACATGGTGGTTAAATGAATCATCGGGATTGTTAAATGAATGATGCAGTCTTTAAGCAAATCCAACTTCCCTAACGGACCACAGGTTACAATTACAAAACTGCAGGATGTTGCCACTGGTTGTAAAGGTGAGCCCAATTGCAACGTGATTGCTGGAATAGTGGGATGGTTGTAAGTGTGAAAAGATGTCATAAAGCCATGGATGCTCAGGAGGAGGTCAGGTCAGTCGTAGTCTCTCACCGCAGCCTACTTTACAGAGTTATTATAAGTGAAAATTGAAAAAGGGAGCACTGTGTTTTCAAAATGAGCTTCTGAACCAAAAGCAAGGATCAAACCAAACTGGGGGGGGCGGGGGGAGGAATTAAATGTATTTAAGCTCAGCACATTAACCATGGCTTCTAAGAGAATATTGTAGGAAATATATCATCTCTTTCTCTAATATTAGTAGGAAATGTTTTTAAGGCTTCACATACCTGACTCGTGCATTTTATGCTCCTCAAGTAAGGCCATTTCTCCTCGACCCTCTTTGGTTTCTGCCCACAAGGAGAATTTGTAGGGAGTGTGGGGATCAAGACCACTGAGATTGAGGCTTAACTGGGTGGCTGGGATGTCGATGTTGTCAATATCCATCTCTGTCTGATTGGCTAGGCACAAGATGGCAGAAGAGTAACAGGTCAATTTTCAGAAAATAATACCATTGTCATCCAACTTGATGTCCCTATCTGATGGATTTCATTTCACAGAACCTGCCAGCTTGGAGAAGGCGGGTAACATGCCAGAAAATGCAAATCCTGTTCTGAGTTGGTAGTGTTCAACAAGCATAAAACGGGCAAGAAGGAAGCATTAAGGGAAGGAAGATGGGAGAGATATTAAAAATGGAATCGGATTGCTAGCATGTTGTGGCAAAAATCACCGAATGCTAGCTAGTGATTCTTGCCACAATATGCTAGAAATTGCCACAATATGCTAGAAATCGGATTCCATTTTTAATATGTTTTAATATTGAGCCGAAGTGGCGCAGTGGTTAAATGCAGCACTGCAGGCTACTTCAGCTGACTGCAGTTCTGCAGTTCGGCTGTTCAAATCTCACCGGCTCAG